TGGGAGGAGGAGGAGGAGTTAATGTCTGAAATGATGGAGTGGCAGGGTAGTTCGGACATTTGGGACATCTTTAACCTCCGCCTCATGGGGACCGGTCTCGTGCTGATCTTTCTAAGAGAAATTGTTCAAGCACATTCACAATAGCAAAAAGATGGACATAATCTCCCAACAACAGAGGAATGGATTAATAAACTACAGTACGTACACCCAATGGGATACCACACAACATTAAAGGATAATGATGAATCTCTGAAGCATCTCTGAACATGGATGAACCCAGAGGACATTATGCTGAGTGAAACTAGCCCATCACAAAAAGTCAAATATAGTGTGAGACCACTATTATTAAAAAATCAAGAAAAGGTTTTACACAAAAAGAAACATTGTTTAAAGGTTACCAGGGGTGGGAAGGAAGGGAGGGTAATCCACTAACTAGAGGGTAGGTACATATTAACTTGTGTAAAGAGGAAGGTGGGAGCTCTGGTAGCGTAGTACCTAAGGCACTTGACTGCTAACCAGATGTCTGACGATTCAAACCCATCAGCCACTCCTTGGAAGGAAGATGGGGCAATCTACTTCCGTAGTGATACTGCCTCGGAAACCCAAGGAGGGGTGACTATGAGTCGGGTCTGACTTGACAGCACATAACAACAACAACAAAAGAGGAAGGTAATATATAATAAGGCGGAGGTCAGCAAAAAAAAAAAATGATCAAGGCAAAGGAAGACACTGGGAGGAGTATAATAGTTAAAGACAGCAAAGATAAATAGTATTACATACATAATCCTGCAGTAACAAAAATAGCAATAATGTACGCGTGGATACATAGACACTCAAGCTGAACAGGTATGGAAAGGAAAATGGGACTGCCTCCATGAATATATATAGGTATGACAGAGGATATCTCTACGTATATGTTTACATATGCTGCAAATATATCCATGAATATAGTAAAACATACAAGGGGGCAAAGTTATGAAAACTTCTTAGTCATGACAGAGTGAGTCACTGGGCTTGGGGCCTCAAGACCATAGTGTCAGGGGCATCAATGTTGACTGGTATAATATAATTGACAAATAATGTTCTATAACCTATTTTGGTAGGTTATAGTTGGTAAATAGCAACTAGGGTCTTAAAAGCTTGTGAGCAGCCACCTATCGTACAATTAGTGGTCTCTCCCGGTCTACAACAAAGAAGAATGAAGAAAATTAAGATGTATAGAAACAGTCCAAAGCACTACTGCACCACGTGAAACTCAGCTTCCATGACCCTGACAACAGAAGACCTAGATGGTTGCCTGGCTGCTACCACTGCTGCCTGGTCTGAAAGGGGTCATGTTAGAAATTCCTTGATAGAGAGGAAGAAAAATGTGGAACATGACTCAAAAAAAAAAAAAAAAAAAAAAAGGCTTATGGTCAAACAGACTGGTGTAATCCCCAAGACTATGGCCCTTAGTTATCCTTTGGACCATGAACTGAATTCACTTCCATGGCTCAATTTTCAGTCAAACAATACACAGGTTTACAAGGTGAACAATAACACTAGGGAGGAAAGTACTCTTTAGAAAAATCAACCATTCAAGATCAAAAGAGCAGCATTGCCCAAGGATAAAGTTTAGAAGGAAGGAAGGTGTAGGGATGGAGGAGGAATGGAAACAGAAATGAGAAACACAGGGAATAGGTGGGAGGAGTGATATTATACAGAAGGGATTGCAACCAATGACATGAAACAAAATATGTGTGAATTGCTGAATGGAAAACTGATTTGCTAGGTAAACTTTCCCCAAAATCACAATAAAAAGTTAAAAACAAGAAAACAGTGATGAAGATAGATGTGTGCAAAAACAAAAACAAGACCATTAATACCAATTTTCTTTGTAATATGAAACAGTTTAAATGTTTAGCAATAGAGTCCTGTTTAAAGAAGTTATGATACATGTATATAAAAGCCATAATGATCATGCTAAGAAGAATATTTGATGACCTGGAATATGGACACAATATACATGCTAAGAAGTAAATAGTAAAAGCTGTGTTTCTATTTTCATAAAATCTTCATATTTCCTAATAGCACAAACACGGGGCAAGATGATGTGATTTCTGATAAGCAAAAAGAAGGACACTAAACATTATAAAATTACCTTAATGCAAGTAACTTTTATTTTTTTAAACTTATTGTGATTTGGGTGAAAGTTTACAGAGCAAATTCATCTTCCATGCACTTTGTCTCATGACATTGACTGCAATTTCCCACAATACAACAGCTCTCCTCCCACTTCCTCCCCATAGCCACCTCTTCCCTGTGTCCTTTCCTCCCATGCACTCCTGTCCCCCAAGCTGTCTCCCTGTGCATACACAGCCCTTCTGTTTGCCCATGACTGATCTCTCCAAGGAGTGTATCTACCTAGTGTAAATGTTCAGCTCATATGTCTGTGTTTTGTTTGGCTGGAAGCCACAGAAGTGGGTTCAATTCCAGACCTGAAGGACAGCTAGGGGCCATAGTCTCAGGGGTTCCACCAGGCTCTATCAGACCAGAAAACCTGGTCCTTTTTTTTTTTCCCTATGATTTAAAGTTTTGTTCCACATTGTTCTCACATTCTCTCCAGGGTCTTCTACATAGATCCCCTTCCGAGTGGTTGACCACTGGGTACCATCTAGTTCTTCTGATCTCATAGTTGTATAGTCTGAGGATTGTATGGTGTTACCAGTCACTTGGACTAATTGTTTCCATGTGTTTTTGATTTTCTTCATTCTTCTTTGCTCATGATGAGGAGAGACTCATTGTTGCATCTAGATGGCTGCCTGCAAACTTTTCAGACCCCAGTCACTACTCACCAAAATAGGATGTGGAACAATGTTTTTGTGTAGTATGTTATGCCAATTGAGTTTGATGTCCCCTGCAATAATGGTCCCGAGCCCACAAGTCCAACTACTTAATGCAATTAACTTTTAAAAAATGTCATTATAAGGTAAACATAGTAAAACAGAAAAGATATGAAATCATGCACACCTTTTCCATGATCTAATTGTCTTTGCCAGGCAATCGTCAGCATGAATTTGAAGAATATATGCCATATTGTGATACAGTGAGCATCTAAAAGTAGTCCATCCATTCAAACTTTCTAAGTTTAATCTAATAAAGGTCTACAGATACACACCTAGACTAGAAAATTCAATTCCTGACTGAAAACTGATTGAGAATGTACCCAATAATTTTATATTGAATAACCTCCAACTTTTTACAGCAATGCTGTCCAACAGAAATATACTACAAACCACATATGTAATTTAAACTTTTTTAGTAGCCAAATTTTGAAAAATAAAAAGTATACATGCAACACATGCACATGTAATACATATAAAATAAAATACAATGCAACAAGAATGAAAATCATTAAATGAAGTTCACAGTTACAGTCTCTCAAGTCAGACTGCTTAGGTTCAAGTACTAGTGACACCACTCAAAACTTGAGCAAGTTCTTTATATACTCTTTGTGTCTAGCCTTTCTAATCTATAAAACTGGCTATTATCAGAACCTATAGCATGTGTTTTTTGAGAGGATCAAATAAGGAAATAAATGTAAAACACTGCCTGAACAAGTTCTTAATAAATGTAATAATAGCAGCAACAGAGGCAAGAGCAGTTAACTACTACTACTACTAATACAATTATTTTTTTCAGGCACCAGACAGTGCTGATTCTCAACAGGTTTATTCTCAGCAGTTTAACTAAGTCTTACAGAAAGATATTTATACTTAGCAATCCAAGATTAGAGAATACCCTGGGCAAAGGGCATTTTTGAAACGCAAAACTGAATTTGTCTAAGACTAAAAATTGTTCCTAAATGCACAGTAAACTTGCCATATGCCCTTAAAGAGCTGACTGCATATACAGATTGTAACAATAAGACTAAGACATGTACCTTCTCATGTAATAGATAAGACAATTTATAAGGTGATTTAAACCAAAATTATATCAACTAATAAATATTTAGCTTTGCCAGAAACCAAATCCCAGGACTTTAGAGGTCATTCTTAATGCAAAACCAGTGACAGCTTGATTTAATGACTGTCACCTGTCATATTTAACAAATTGTTAAGATGAATAAAGAACATGTTCACAACATGAAGAAAACAAAAACAAAAAAGTATAATACAACAATAATATCTAAGTGATATAAGGGTTAAAGTAAAATGTAGTCCTATTAAAATAATAAAGTGGCTTAATGGAAAAAACAGTCTGCACTACTTCAGTTTTTTACTTCAAACCGACTAAGATTAAAAAAATAAAATTTAAGTCAGTTTCACACTAACTGTATTTCAAGTGCTCATTAGCCGCATGTGGCAACTGGCTACCTTGCTGAACAGTAGTCTAGAGTATCAGTGTAGGTAATGTAACTTTCTGAAAGTTCTCCACAACCTTACAACTCAAAATTTGGTACATGGATCTGCACCCTAGGCGTATCCAACAGCTTATTAAAACCCAAACAAGACCTACTGAAGCAGGATCTGTATTTTAACAAGGTTTCTAAGTAATTGTACGCTAAATTTTGCGAAGCATCACTACGAGTGATTGGTTCTCAAGCTTGCCTGCATATTGGAGTTATCTGGGGAGTTTAAAAATAATGACACCTGGGTCCTATTCTAGAGATTCTCATTTAATTGGAATGAAGTAGGGCCTGTGCATCTAGATATTTAAGAGTTCCCCAGGAAACCTCTGATACATTTGGGTTACTCACATATCCTAATGTATTTTACATAAAGCTCCTAGTTTAAGGTCTGGCACATAGAAGTCATTAGGCACAGAGAATGACAGTAATTACATAAAACATGTATAACCTTGAGATGTGAAATCTTGAGATTTAACTATGAACTAATCCTATAATTCTGATAATTCAATTCAAGGAAAATACAAAAATTATTTTTTTTCAATATACAGCTTAGTTACAAAAGTATTTTGTAAACAATTTCTAAAAGCATGAAAATGTACAGAAAACCCACCTCGGCTGGGTGCCAGAGGATTTAAAGGACGATAAACAGATCGAGGCCTGAAAACAAAGCACAAAACCCAAACATAAAACAGTTTGACTCTTATATATGACTTTTTCCAACAGAAAAAAAATATTTCCAAGCCTCCCCTCCCCTTAGTCACTCCTCCTCCTTCTGCTACCCCCCTCAGTTACTTGAAACAGTTTTCCTCATAGATGCTGTTCCACACTCTCCATGCAGAGGGCCCTTTATATCCAGTGTAACGCTCTGGGTTCAGCAATAGGTCTACATGTTGAGCAGTTGGAGATCTCTCGTCTGACAAGAAATAATTAATAAAAACCATTCATATTTCACCATTTTTCTAAAATTCAGCATTACAAAGCAAACATGACTACTCAAAGGTCAGAGAAATGTTATGCTCTTCAAATAATCTCCAACTAAATGGTAGAGTAGTTAGCACATTTAGACTGTACTCGACCTAGAATTTATAATGAATGGGACAAATTACTTAAGAGAGAGGAAAAATAACCCCCCTTTCTCTCTGGATGTTCTGTGCTCATTTAAATAATATAATATCCCTCACCTTATTAGAGGTATTAATAATATCCCAAGTTTTAACCACCCAGGACTGAAAAGATCGAGCAGAATCATAACTTGTTTTAACATTTTATGTGATTTATTTTCTTAGTGTATGCCTACCCAAAGACTTGCTTGAAAACATTTATTTTATTAACATAAATTGTATTACAAATAGAGATTTCCTTCCTTCTCTTTACTTGGAATTATGAAGCCAATTTAAGATTAACTTGTTCAATAACCTTGTGATTCAAATCTGATAAAAAAATACATGTTGTCAATTTATTTTTACCAACGTTAACATACTAAACATTTTTGCCCCTCTCAATAAGTAGGCACAACTTTCAAAAACCTGTTAAGACATTTAAAATTAAATAATAATTTTCCATGTTGAAACTCAAATGAGAATTTATTATAACAAATATCTTTGAAGAATACAAAAGATAAAATATTGTCTTACTTATTGAAGGCTCATGTGTAAAGGCTTGAATATTGAGGGAAACATATTTTCATAACTAAAAAGAACTGTAATGACAATGCTACACAAATATATGATCATAATGTATATTAACACAAGTACCATGTATGTTGACATATACATATACCTTTATTTACATGTGTACTGCTTTTTGATGTCATGAGAGTAAATCAATAGTACTTAGGAATGTGACTTATAACAGGGGTCAAATATGGTCATTAAACATTCCTCTTCCCTTTACTACCTGATAGTATATTTTTCTGTCTGTGAACAATATTGACTGGACATTCAATAGCATAGTTTGGAAATGTCCATAATCATAAGGGGAAAAGACACTGCTGATCCATGCTTTCCAAGAGTTACCTGGTACTTTCATCATGTCAGAAAAGTACAAAGAAATGACAAATTATCATTATTAAAAAAGTTTGTAGATAATGTAAGGACAATGGAAACATGACTTCTCAGACTATAGAAAAAATACTGACTCTATTTCCAGCCCTAGAATTATAAAGATATTTTATAAGCTAATTTACAGATGGAGAGGCAGAAACTTGTCCAGGTTAAGCACAAAGAGTGATTAAATACTTCAAAACAATAATTTTTAAAATCTAAATTTAAAAATACAAATTATGAAGTAAATAAAAGTATGGCTTTCAGTAAAAATCAATAAAAGGTTTTTAAATTATTTAATTTCTAAGTTATATATTTTTAATTTTTTGAGCTGTGCAGTGTAGTAAGTTACTTTGTGTGGCTTTTCTACCCATAAGTCTTTGTAAACTCCAAGGTGGGATTTGCTATGAGCAACTGAGGAGCTCCTGATTGCTGAAGGTGTCCACCTGGAGTATTTCTGTTGGGAGTGGCACAAAACAATGTTCTGGGAGGT